AATAACAGATTGGACTGGAATCCCATTCCTGCCCACTCCGGGGAACACCATTCCTGCCCATTCCAGGGAACATTCCGGTGTACATTCCGGAATCCACTGGAATGGAAAACACCGGAATAAACAATTTAGCAGGGCCTTCTGCTAAATTCCATTCCACCAGAATCCACCGGAATTCCACCGGAATGACCGGATTCCTGCAGGAATAGGGGGGGCACTGCTAAGACCTCCCTTCATTGCCCATCCCCTCTCTCTTTAGCATATGCTGTATGTAGTGGAATGTATTTTGTCCTATAATTGAAATACATTATAATTTGATCTAATTGACTTGTCAATTTTATAAGGAGTTCTGAATATCTATAAGGTTTGACTTCAATAAAAATCAACAAAGGCGTGAGTGCAAGATGGGGGCAGAGAATATTTGTGGTACATGTGAAAGAGTTTGTAATGTGGTGCCGCAAGGCAAAACCATGTGTAGTTTATCCTGTGACCCAGGAACTGGGGCGCGGTCATCTGGTGCAGGACTCTGGTATCCCGGAGGGGAGGTGTATGGCTGCCTAGCTGTATAGAAAGGGTGTGACTCTGTCCACATGTGATATATGATGTGGTTGCAAAGTTAGTCTATTGTTATGTACAAGACACTATATAATGGAGAATAAACACAAGTAAATACAATGATTCTAGATCACACAAGAAGGGTAGTAGCATACACTAGCATGCCGTTACAAAGCCCCCCCATGAGATTGGAGCATTGTCCATAGGGGTGAACACTCCTCATTGTCCCTATAATCTGGATTTACCATATTGGTGATACCCCAGATCACTTGAATCAGTATTCTTATGGTAAGGTTTTCTTCAATCTTGGAGTCATTCTCCTTTCATTCGCTGTACTCATGCTACTGATCTATTCACCACTCCAAACAGTCTGAGAAACACCAGCATCACCACCTCTTAGTCTGGCTGATACATCATAGTACAGTCCTAACGAAGGGAGGGTAACATGGAACTTAGCCACAAATGGTGATCCTGGCTGGGCTTGATTTCATTTGAAATATCAGGGTGATGATTATTCGAGGTTAATGTAGGCCCAGTAACTCTTGCAAGCCGTCGTGTTGGTGATAGAGTGCTAGGAGCCAATTTCATGAGTGGCAGTATGGAGAATAACATTGTTGCATTACCCCACAGCTGTATAGGACTTGGTGTATTTTTCAAGGGGGACCATATACAGATAGTCTTCACGCCATAAGGCTGCGGGGATTGGGGTAACAGTTCTGTGGTAATCAGGATGTGGGAGATTAGTAGCCAGAGCAGAACTCAAGCAGTCCTGGAGATTCGACTGAATTACTTGTTTTCCTACAAGATGACTATTGGAGTCCCCATTCATGACACACTTTTGCGCATCTGTGAAGGGAGCTTTTAAATCCGAGGACTCTGTTCCAGAGACAAAGGGGGAGGTGAAGAACTGGACAATCCCCAGAGATACCTCTGTCTAAAGGATGACAGAATGTTAGAAGAAGTATAATATAATAAAAAGCAAGACATTTACCTCTGTACTGGTCCTGTCATTAAAGACGCACACATAGTTGTCGTCTCCATTCACCACCCAACCCGTAACACCTTCGTGGTTTCCCAAAAGAATGCGGACTTTGTCCCCTACTTTGAGATCTTTTCAAAGGGACGAAAAGGGTATGGTAGTTGTTACATCCTCCATCATTAAAGAGACGATGGCTTCGTTTTCTGTTATATCCTCAATCATTCCAAAAAGCCCCCTCAAATCTCCATGGTTGATTTTCACCTCATTGCCTGTCCAAAGGATCCTGGCTCACATTCTTGCCATTGTGTGCTGTTGGACATTGAGAGGAATGTCCGAGCAGGCGCTAAAAAGTTTGAATTCCCTTGATGTCAGTACTACATATTCTGCAGTGTACCAATCCATGTCGACTTCTGAGAAATATGCATATCTGTCAGCATCGTACAATACTCTGCGGAATAAAGACAAGCTGTTGCGCTCTTGAAAGGCCTGACGAAACCATTGCTTTGCCAGTGTTGTTACCGCCAACTTCCAGATAATTTGCTGAGTTGAGGTAAACTCGCTTTGGTTGCTTAGCTCCACCAAACTCATGAAAAAAGTGTTCATGATCTGCAGAATAAGATGTTTCACAATCTGGACATTTTGCTGTTAAAACTAAAACTTTTTTATAGATTTGGTGATCTTTAATCAAGGTCACTGAGGGTATGTCACGTTTCCGTGTGGCTTGCACCAGTGATCTGGGTTTACATGTTGCTGTTCCACACACAAGTGATCCAGGACATATCATATGAACAGGCTGAATAGCTTTCTGGGAAACAGGAAGTAGCTTTCCAATGTAAGCATCTTGGTCATCATATGGAGTTAAATTCAAACTGACAGCCATATCATTCAACTTTCCTGCAACCAGCTTGACCTTGTCATGGGGGGTTGAATCATCTTCATCCTCATCATTATATGAGCCCAATTGATCAATCAATGCCCTAGCTAAAGCAATCATCAACCCAGTGGTCTGAGTCTTGTTTTCACCTTGGAATTCTGGGTGTTGTTGTTGAAAATGGAGATTCAACAAGTCCACATTTTCTGTAATTGTGAATAAAAGGGTCAAGACAGTTGCCAAAGAGATGTTAGATCCAAAGGTTGATTCAATGATTTGAGTAAATGCAGAAAAAGATATATCTGGGAATGGGGTTTCAGTCTGTGCACCATGCACTAATGATGCCATCTGAAACCATATCAAAAGCCAGATTATAATCCAATGTTGACTCAACACAGAGAGAGTAATAAGACCAAAGCAAGTCAACCAAGAAAGAGCCACAAGGGAAAACCAAACAGAGCTACATTTACAAATTTTCACAATTTACATGTCAAAGTAATGGTTCATAGGATAGAAACTTACACAGGTGAATTCTTCTTCGACTTTGCCTTTACCTTTGACTTTGACTTTGACTTTTTCCCTCCAGATGACCCATCTGATTCCGAGGTCTTATCAGTGCCCCCCTAATTCCTGCAGGAATCCGGTCATTCCGGCGGATTCCAGTGGATTCCGGAGGAATGAAATTTGGCAGGGAGACCTGCTATTTTCATCATTCCGGTGCCTTACCATTCCGGCAGAATTTGGGCATTCCGGAATTGACACTGGAATGTTCCGCGGAATTCGCAGGAACGGAATCCACCGGAATTCGTGTTGGCTTTGTTTGGTAACACAAGGGAAATAAACAAAGAATACAACCAAACAAACTCATTCCTTTCCACCCCCCACCCACATCCTCTTCTCTGCGACGTCGACCGCCCACCTACAACAACAGTGACGACAGTGACAACCACGACGACGCCACATCAGCAAACAACGGCCACGAAACAACCGCCTGCAACACCGCCACGTCGCTATCGGTGACGTGGCAACAACGCCAAATGAGACGAGGACGCACAACCGGACGACGCTGATGCAACGTGGCAACGTACCACGTCGTCTGACGGTGACGACGTGGTATCGTCACTGTCCGGTTGATTTGGGCCACCCAAGTGAGTAAACGGCCCCCTCACCACCCCACTGCTCACCATCCAGGTGCCACGTCGATGTGGCAAGCCCCCTCGACCCCCAGTGCTCAATTTCCAGGTGCCACGTCGCACACCGCCCACAAACGTGCCCCGCCGGCCATGAAAAAACGTGCAGCGCCCACGAACAACGCCCAGCGCCCAGCTCCACCATCCTACAGCTCAGCGATGAGCGCCCACGACAACGACCACGACAACGCAACAACGACACACGACAACGACGACACGCGACAACGACAACGAGACGACGACACGCGACAACGACAATGCGACAACGACGACACGTGAGGACAACAACAACAACAATGCGACGATGACACACGACGTCGACAACGTGAGTCCCCACCACACTCTCCCCACTCCATCGGTCCCCCTTTCCACCACACACTCTCCTCACCACTCTTCCCGCCCCTCCCTCTACCACACACTCTCCCCATCACTCCCTCTGTGTCTCTACCCACCCCTTTCCTTCTCCATTGCCATGTCCCTTGCTCCTTCCTTGTCCCTACCCCCCCTCCTTGTCCCTACTACCTTTCCTTGTCCCTCTCCCCCTCCTTTAATATTACATAGTAAAATACATGTTATGTCCTTATTAAATACATTATAATTTGACCTATGAACTTATTGCTTCACTAGATGTGGGTTCTATAAGGTACTAAGTTATCAGGATAAGCTTGGAGTTGAATAAATACAGATTCAGTCACATGATAAAAAGCTGATCAGAATATGGGGGTAAATTTACATGGTTTTTCAACCTTACTCTGTCCAGTCCTATTCCAGTGGAATTCCTGTGGATTCCGGTCCCATTCCTGTGGAATCCTGTTCCATTCCTGTGGAATCCGGTCCCATTCCTGTGGAATCCTGTTCCATTCCTGCGGAATCCTGTTCCATTCCTGTGGATTCCTGTGGATTCCTGTGGATTCCTGCAGGAATGGGAGGGGCACTGTAAAGTACTGGACCTCTCGGACAACACACGGACATGTAAATATGAATAGAAGACATAGAATAGTATAAAAAGAGGATGCGCGCAG